TTTTTTAAAAAAAGCAGTTCTTGCCCTTCCGCGGCCCTAATAGCAGCAGTCAGCTGTGCACCTGTGCTTCTGGGAAATGGTTCCTCTTGGATCCCTTAAACAAGGGCATTTACGTAGGTGCAGCCAGTATTTTCCTTTGAAGCCGTAACCAACCATAGTGGTACGGCTAATCCACTTAATTCTTCACATGCAACACGCGTGCGATGTAATACGGCTTTCTCCTTGTTGAGGCCTTTTTGGAGGATGAGGGCAAAGAAACGGTGAGCAAATCGTGTGAATGAAAGCAGGAGCAGCGTACCTGTCGGTGACAGCTTCTGGACCTCCCAGTGAAACAAAGATGCTTCAGTGTCAGTCGATGCTGCATTTTACGCCAGCGTAAAACTCAGAGGCTGAAAACAGAAGTAGCAAAAATACATCATCCTTGTGCCAGAGCGAGCGTTTCTAGAATTTTATGTTTCCGCTGTTCTCGTAGGAAGGACTTGTCCCATTTATGCCGCTAAATCTAAACCAAAGGGGTTTCTTCCTAATTTAAACCATGCCAGATGAATGTGGAGCCATGCTTCTGTGTCAATTGCACAGTCTTGTTGCCTGCTAAGTTCCGGTAATACATTCGTTGCCCGTGGTGTGCTGTAAATCATACAGGGTTAGAAAGACACATTTTTTTTCAAGTTGTGCAAAAAAGCATATGAAAAGATGAACCCGATTTTCCAGTTACTTATTGCACAAAAGTGCTGTTGTCCCACACAGTGATGAGCAAAATCAGAACTGGGCCTCAAATGAGGGATTTTCCTTGGTGTACAGCGGGGAGTGCTGGGCTTCCTGAGCAGGGTCTTGGCTTCGAGAGGCCGCAACTGCTGCCTGTTAATACGTCAGGAGCGGAAATACCCGTTTGGTTACAGCAGAAGCCTAATTTTTCACGTGAGGGGGAGATGTGTGCCAGTCTCTTCCCTTGCCTTTGAGATCTGGGGATGTGTACCCAACTCTGTCGTGCATTTTCTAGGATAGAAAACTCACAACAAAGGTGCGGTTCGTTCACGCTGTTAATTTTGTGTTGCGTACAATACACCAGCTAGCAGTTGTGTGTGCTTTGAATATTTAGGGCACGACAAGTTTAAAAGTCTAGAAAAAAGGCATATAAAACATGGACTCGCAAGGAAAGCATTTTTAGAATTTACTTTTGAACTTAGGTTAGATTTGAAATAGTTATGCTGGTGAAGATAGTAATTAAAAATACAAAACCACCCTAGGCTGTCAGCTAATTGGTGTAATGTGTAGATAGCAGGGGCTAGAGCTCGGCCACTTCGGTGTCCACCTGGGACACGTCCACCCGGGACGTGCCACACCTTTGTGGCAATACTTTGCTGTTACGTGTTGGTTTAAAATCTCTTGATGTGAAAAGCTCCTGACCACCTTAAAACAGCTTTTTTGGTGTGAAAAGTCTTCCCGGTTTTCCACCAGGTGGCACTCGCCTATAAAAAAGTTTTTTTTTCGAAGAGTGTTTCACGGTTCATCTCCCAGGTTTCAAACCGTGCCCTGGTGGAAGGGCTTACGGCTCAGTACCGTTCTCAGGAGTTCCACGATTAAGACAAAAGTTTTCCTGGCCTTTGCATAGTGCCCAAGAAAGTGTTTTAGTAAAGAAGTCGGCAGTTGCCTTGTCTTCCCCTGGCTGTGAACGCGCAGGCAGGACCGTAAATACTTCGCACTGCGTGAATGCGGATCAAGTCGCGACGGAATATTTACAAAAGGTTTGCCCCCCAACAAATACGCGACATTGCCACGCACCCTGCATAGGGTCTTGCAAGCGCTTAAATCTGTTTCTGTGAATAACTGACCCCGGTGAGTTTCTCTGCATTATTCAAGACCAGGAGGCACGTGCACGCGCATTTGCAATCCATATCATGTCTACTGCGTATCAACTCCAATCACGTTTTGTGCAAATCAAGATTTAGAATGGTAAACGTCCTGAGCTTTTGCAGAATTTCCTTTAGTGGGATTAAAAACCTAGAAAAGGCGTAAAATGTGTCTTTTTCATACATTTCTAGTGCTGCCTGGGGAAAAAAACTAGCAAAGATAACTTGCAATGCAAGGTAAGCCACCAGATGGAGCTAATAGATCGTCGTATTTTAGTCTACCGTGCAAGGACAGGATTTTCTGGATGAGCCCTAAGTGTTACCAATATCTGAGCACTATTAACAATGGTGAAGTTTCAATTTCTTTGCCAGCGTTTGTTTAAACTGCTGTTTCCAAAATTAAAAAAACCCAAACAAACACACTTTTCCAGCCTATATATTTAAATGCTGCAGAACGATAGCTTACTTCATAAACTCTTACAATTTAGAATTAAAACAGCAGGTGGCACATTAGGCCCAGTGAATAGGGGATTAAGGACTTGGTGCTGTTAAAAAAAACCCTCGGAAGAACACTTCCAATAACCGCAAGCCATTTTTTTTGGTCGAAAATTCACCTGATTTTGCAGAACTCTTTTCCCATGGCTGCTTGTGACTGCTGAAGGGTTCCCCCACAGTCAAGGCTTCTGTTCTGGGCACTCTCCTAATTAGTTGGCTGGGCAGCGTGAGTGGTTTGTCTTCGTGCAAAGGACAGGAATCCGCTGTCATTCAGGGCGAATGACTGTACCAAACAAGATTATTTACGGAGGGTGTTCCTCTGTGACGTCTTTTGTGATATGCATGGTTATCGTATTTTATCCGTTTGTTTATTGATTGTGATGTCATTAACAGTTGGGGTTTGTTAGGCAGGATAACAGGGATAAGAGAAAAAACCTCTAATTATTTTGATAATCAGCAGTAATGGGAAAAAGCAAAACTACATCCATCATCACTTTAATGAGAAGGATACTTTTTTTTCTTTTGAGGAGAATCGTGATTTAAATGTGGTTATCTGTTTCCTCATAATTTCTGCTTTTACATGAGCTAGTTATCAAAACTGCTGAAAAAAATAGATGCAGAAATTCTGGGAGTCCCCCAATTTTAGCCCTAAATAGCCTATATAGGCCTATAT